TGCAGGGTTTGGTTTCAGGAAAATCCAAACATCCCTAGATCTGGAGCTGTCAGCTTCTGCAGACAGGTGTCACCTTCCCAGAGTAGCAGGAAACCAGAGATCCGGGCTTCTTCCGGCTGGAGTAGGTAGGCCAGAGGGTGGTGGGAGACTCATGTTTCCAGGGCTATTCTGAGAGCATGGGGTAGGCAGACAAGCAGCAGTGTCAAACCAGGCTGCTCCTTACCCTCTGCCTGCCCTTCGTGGCTTTGAGACACCTTGACCACTGCCTCCTCCCCCTTTCACTTAGAGCTTTCTCTTGCCAAGAAATGACCCCCTTCTGCAGAGACTGGAGTGGCTCCCCATCACCTCACCTGAGCCTCTCCTTTGTGGACAGAATGGAAAGGGCTGCGTGAGTGTGTGGACTCCCGAAAGCCTCCATTGCTGCTGAGGATGCAAGTGAGGTCACACAGCTCTTCACCCGAAGGTGGCTGTAGCCTCCAGCAGTGCCCCCCCCACAGGCAGAGCTTTGGGGGCCCTCAGGTGGGCATTTTATTGTGGGTAAAAAGGTAAAGGTGAAGGACCCCTGGGCGGTTAAGTCCAGTCAAAGGTGACTTTGGAGTTGCGGCACTCATCTCGCTTTAAGGTCAAGGGAGCTTGCATTTGTCCACAGACAGCTTTCTGGGTCATGTGGCCAGCATGACTAAACAGCTTCTGGCATGACGGAACACCGTGATGGAAACCAGAGTGCACGGAAACACTGTACCTTCCCGCCGCACTGGTACCTATTTATCTACTTGCACTGGCGTGCTTTCGAACTGCTAGGTTGGCAGGAGCTGGGACAGAGTATTGGGAGCTCACCCCATCATGGGGATTCGAACCGCTGACCTTCTGATCAGCAAGCCCAAGAGACTCAGTGGTGCAATTTGTGGTGAATTTGTTCTGCTTTACAGTATTAGGTGTTTTGTGATGTTTCCCTGAAAGTATCACATTATTGCTATCTGGAGGAGCTATAGGATACCAGAAGCAGAACAATAACAAACTCAAGCATTTGTGGTATGAAAAGTTGTAGGATAGTGACAGGATTTGCACTGACTGGATATGAAGCCTCAGAACTTTTGCACACAGAAATAATATTGTTGCACACCACCCCAATATCTGCCAAGCAGTCACATGATTTCAGAGGTTCAAGGCTCATATTTCCATTGTTAATTCAGGGCATGGCAGAGACTGCAATGTTTTCAGATATTTGGTTTATTTTACACCTACGTATGTACACCTAAAGTCTTCCATGGAGGGGCTACAGAACATTATATCCCAAGTGTCTCTCATTGCCCCTCTCATAGCTTCAGCAAGCTTGGGTTTTAAAGCAGTAGTCTGGCATGACTCTGGTCTCTCAGTGCAGCCTCTTCCAGCCAGCACCAAGATGGAATTCTGGTCTGCCAGCAACTCGTGGAGGTCTGCCCTTGGTTCCTGTTCTCCCCAGAACACCTTGCAGAAAACCCCAAACTCCTACAAAAAACAACACGCATTTCCCTGCCACCTTGTACCCCTCCCCGCCACCTGTGGCAACCACAGACCTGAACACCTTCTTTGATATATAAAACATCCACACCTGTTGTCATGTTAAAGGTTTATCCCCAGTGAGCTACGTAAGCTGGCTTAGCTTATGATCCTAAACTTTATTGCAGGCATAGGCAAAGTCTGACCCTCCAGATGTTTTGGAACTACAATTCCCACCATCCCTAGCTAACAGGACCAGTGGTCAGGGATGATGGGAATTGTAGTTTCAGAATATCTGGAGGGCCAGAGTTTGCCTATGCCTGCTTTATTGCAACAGTGCTTGGCATCCCCTTTTAACATTCCCAGTATTAACTAACTTCTGGTATTAATTCCTTATATTCACTAACCAGCAATCTAGGACAATACTGAAAGCAGGGTCATGTATGACCAGCACAAATCATCCTACAGGTGTAATCGAAAATGGGTGTCTGGACTCAGAGGAACTCAAAGTTGCATGATCTCACCTTGTCTCAAATAAACTATTATTATATTATTATTATTTATATACCGCTCTATACCCAGGGTTCTCAGGGCAGTTCACAGAATAAAATCAAGATATAAATACATAAAATACCTAATAAAAATAAAAACAATAACCCAATAGCCCACGCCCCAAAAAAAACCATTTTAAAAGGACATAGGATGTAAATGGGATCAAGCAAAGGCCCGGTTAAAAAGGAACATTTTTGCCTGGTGCCTAAAGGTGCACAATGAAGGTGCCAGGTGAACTTCCCTGGAGAGTCATGGGCCAGTCAGAAATGCCCCCACTGGGGGGTTCAAGTCCCTGCTCCACCCTGGGCTCACTTGGGTAAACTGCTGGACTCAGATCTCCTCAGCAGGGAGGCCTTTCTCTGCAAACAGATGCTTTGAATCAGAAGATGGAATGCCCTAGCTATACAGAAGAAACAGCTCTCCCCAATTCCCCACCCTATCAGCAGTATAGAACTTTGGGGTGGGGTGCACACACACACACACACACACACACACACACACACACTGCATTGCCAAACTCCAAAACAACAGCCTCAAGTCGTTTTAAATGTCCAAAGTTCTTTTTTCAACCCCGCCCCCCAATAAAAGCCCTTCATTGACCTCTTAAAAACAGAACCGGTTCCTACCCCAAACCAGAAAAAAGTGAATTGTTTCTGCCACAAAGAGATGGGCTTAAATTTGATTCAGGGGTCTGCCACAGCAGACTTCTTTGAGCGCCATGGCTAAGACCCAGGTAACGAAATGCCTCTGACCATGTGCAGAGTACCTTTCACCACCTAGGTATAATGGGAAACAGCTTTCCTAATTCATAAACATAGATGTGTGAAAGGAGAAGGGCTGAAGCCCAGAGCAAGAAGACAGGCCTTCTTAGAATCATAGAACTGGAAAGTTGGAAGTAACCCTGAGGGTCCTTGCAATGCAGGAATATGCAGCTGTCCCAAATGGGAATCGAACTTGCGACCTTGGTGTTACCAGCACCACGCTCTAAGGAAAGACCTGCCCACCTCCCATTTAGGTGGTCGGACTGGTGCGGTGGGGTCTGCGGGAAGCAGCACTTCGGCCCTTTCAAGTGCAGGCGGGGGCGGAGAAAGGCACTTATCTGATTCTGAAGTCTGGGTCACCCTTTCCACTGAACAGCTGAGGGTGTATTCAAGGCCATTTAGCAGTTTTTGTCCTGCGCATCGAGAGCCGTGGCAGTTGCCATCCCTCGGCAGGCTGGATGGGTTGTCGCCTCTCCCCCCCCCCCCCCCCGCGCCCAAGTGCTGATATGGCAGAAAAGGTCCCGGGCAAGGAGGCTGTAGGCCAAGCTGCGCCTGTGTGCGGACCCAGGCGGGCGCTGCACCTTCAGAGGACTTAATCTTCCCACGCTCCTTCCTCCAACCCCGAAATTCAGGGACGGAGCGGGGGGGGGGGGCGTCATTCTCCGCCCAGGAACTTTCCTGGCTTCTTTCTCTCTCTCTCTCTCTGACTTTCCTTCTGTGGACGGGACGAATGAAAGTGCAAGCAGAGCAAAGGAAGAGTGCAAAGCCACCTCAGAGCGTTGCTGCTAGGGCGCTGCAACGTGCCCTCGAGCTGTCTTTTCCCAGAGAAACTGGCCAAAGACAGATGGTGACTTTGCAAGCTCCGGGCAAAGGGGCAGGAAGCGCTCACCGACGGAGCGGGCGGAAGGGAAGAAGCCGACCATGCCTGAGCCGAGCCAAAACTGGGCGGCGGCGGGCGGTAGAGGGTGCTGTCCAGCCGGCTTTGGTCCCACTCTGCGTCCCGGGGCGGAAAGTGCGGCGTCCGTCCAGGACCACCCCGTCGGAGGCCAGCGAGATCGCGGATCAGCGCGCCGGTGCCCCACCTTCCGCGGGGGTCTCGCGGTTTCCCAGCGATAAGGAGAGGAGGAGGCTCCCCCTCACTCGGGAATTGTTGGCCAGGACAGGCCCGGGACCCGGGAACTGCGAGATAAGCCGCCAGCAGGAGCAGGACTGTCGAACTTGGCGCTTTTCGCTGTGCGCCCTCTCGAGAACAGCAGACTCTCTGGCTCGCCTCGCCTTCATCCCCACGTTCGCGAAAGTGGCTGGAAAAGTGAGCTCGCTGAGAGGACTGGAAGCTGGAGGCAGCTCCCTGGCACGGATAGGGATGGCCTGGCCACCCCACCCCCGGGCTGCGTTGCCTAATGGTTAACTTGTGCGGCGCTCTATGGAACACACGCGGTTGTCATAGACAGAAGGGAGCCGGCGGTCAGGTTAGCATGATTTCTTGCTCATTTCCCCCTCCACCTTCGGTGCTTAAATTTGTGTTCCCTCCCCTCGGCACAGTATCCACCGGTGTTGTCTAATACAGTGGTACCTCGGTTTACATACGCTTCAGGTTACATACGCTCCGGCGGCGCGGCGGCACCATTAGCTAAAGTGGTGCTTCAGGTTAAGAACAGTTTCAGGTTAAGTACGAACCTCCGGAACGAACTAAGTACTTAACCCGTGGTACCACTGTAATTTCAGAAGTACTACAAACTATCTCAGCTGAAGTCAGGCATTGGCGGGGGGTGTGTAGGTGTGGGTGTGACTGGAGGGATTCGAGGGAATAATGTTCCCGCCGCCCCGCCCTCCCCATCCCTGCCAACGCCTGTCCTTAAGAATTTTGCAAGCAGCTGCTCCAGACGCAAAACCCGCTTCCCCAGCTGAGAGCAGACTTCTGCCACCCGGTGCCTGCCACGCCCCCAGCGCGCTCCTCTTTACGCCCACTTCCCTGAGTCCACAGAGAAGAAGCTTGCTCTTCGCCAGGTGTTCCGCTTGTTCCGACGCCAAGACGCAGACCATCCTCCGCCCGCTTTGGCTCAAGAGGAGGAGACGGACAAGAGAGAGGCAGTCCGGCTGGTTCCAACAAGGATGGGCTGCGGAATGAACCTTCAGGCACCACCGTAAGAAAACCACTTAGGGCAGGCGATGATTATTCGGTTGCAAAGGAAAGGCACTCTGCACATGTTCAGAGGCACGATCATCTTTATTATTTAATATGCTCTGGATGTAAGCCCTGCCCTAGGCTTTGTGTTGGGGTGAGGCGGACTAGGCGGCCTTCAGGATCCTAGGGTCCTGCAAACCAGGACCCCGCAGAGTTGCCCGGTCTATGCTCGTGAAGCTGAGGTTTCCCCACTGCCCAGCTGTCCCGGGAAAGAGGCGGAGCTACGCCTGTTCTGAGCTCTGTTTTATTTCCCTGGTCTCTGATTCCCCGAGACAGACCTAGGCAGGAAAAATGCTTACTCCCAACATAGCAGCAGCACAGCGAAAATACAAACAGCCAATGTGCAAAGTATGGTCAACGAAATCGTTTCCTGACTATGTACATGTGTATAGGTATGCATTATCTGTATATTTGTTTTCCTGCGTACGCACGAAAAGAGCAATAAAACATTCCATACTGTGGCTTTGGTTGAGAACCAAACGGCAAAATTTGGCAAAACAATAAAGAACAGGAAGGTGGCGGCAGGGGGCGCTGTCGAGCTGCCGGGTGGCGAGAACAAGAGGCATCTGCGTCTCCCCGGGGGGGGGGGGCAAATATCGAGCGACGGGTCCGGGAAAAGTCAAGCAAGAACCAAAGGCAGCTCCAGGCCCCGCAACCAGCCGACGAGGTGCCCTTGGCCGGCCTGCCCTGCACTCTCCCCCACCCGCGTTTCAGTCGTGGGACTCCGGGGAGAAGAACCATCACCCCTTTCTCCAGAAGGGATATTAGTGGTGTGGGATGTATTGATAGAGCAGCAAGTACAACATTTTCCTGTTGCCCAGAATGGACACACAGGGGGAAGGGGCTCCAGACAGGGAGGGCTTCCTGTCATATCTGCTCTGGAGCCTCCTCTCCCTGTGGGTGACCAGGTGGATGGGCGTGACCCTAGCTGTCCATGTAAAAGGGCTAACCATGCAGCCAGCTTCCCTTTTCCTCTTTTGGATCTTCACTTCTGGATCCCTACTGCTCCTGGCTCTTAGCCAGCACATGGCATATCCTTGCAGAGGATGGAGACCTAACTCGGACTTAACTTTTCTCTACAAATGTAACTGTAGCCACAAGATATAGCCTGCCTTCAGATTACTGCTGTGAACTGAACGTGAGAAAAACCTGTTATTTTTCAAGAAGACTGTGTTGCGTTATTCTTATTTTAAGAGGGAAATAAAGGGGAAATTTACCAGGAACAAGCCAGACTGGATTGCTTAATTAAAAGACTCTAGCGAGTCATCAACTTGCTTCCAATAAGTTGCAAAGGGACTGTGCTCTGCTGTTTGCTCGCTAGCGTGAGTGAGGAGGGATAATATCAAAACAATATATCCTCTCCTATCCTCCTAAACATTCCCACAAGTGGTGAAACCCCCCCCCCCCAAAAAAAAGCTGGCTCCATTGTCAGGAGAGGCGAGAGCACCACCTTGTGGCCTGCTTAGCAGAGAACGAGCCAATCGCAGCAAGGCAGCAAGGAACGAGGCAGAGCCTTGGCCCGGCCAGATGGGAGAAGGATGGGAGAAGCAAGAGGACTTAGGGGGCGCCTCCTCCCCGTATTCACTGCCCTGCCCTTTTTGTCCCCAGGTGCGACAGTGACAGGAAACCGAGAGCTCCTTGAAGGACGGCAGGGTCATGCAGGGGCCAGGGTTGGTGGACGATGACCGGGCCTGGAGCCCAGCTGTGGCTGAGAGGAAGAGGCACCCAGGAATTGCCTGCTTCCGAGCCAAGGACGCAGCAAGCACCGAGGGACCTGATCCAGCTCTGCCTCCCCTAGAGCCCTGGTGAAGTTTACAGCAAGAGGCTGACGGGCACTGCCAGGTAAGTGCGCTCTACCGAAAGGAAAGCCGGAGCGTGGAGTGGGGAGGACAAGGCAGACAGGCCCAGGATCTTGCCCCTCCATGAGATCCAGACCTCTCCTCCGCCAGGGCCCTTCAGGAGCGCTCCTCCCAGCAGAAAGCATAGTCGCCCACCCAAGAAGAAAAAGCATGGCGCGCGGCACAGGCAGCATGCTCTCAGGAAATAAACAAGCAGTCTCCCACCCGCCACCCCCCCAAAAAAAGCCTATTCCCAGAAAGACCCTCCCCCCAATTATGCTGGGCATAGGAAACATCAGGGAGTCGTGTTCGTTTGGATGGGGATCAGGGAATAGCTGACGCGTGAGCTTGCAAATGCCGGTTCTGGGAGGGAGTCAGAATGTGCCGCCCTTTCGACCTCCCCCTCCCGTCCCGCTGGCAGTGAGTTGCGTTTGGCAGTAGTGGGTTGTGCTTGTGGCTTCTGTAGAAGGAAGACGATAAGTGGCAGTTTCTGCATCAGAAGGGGGAACCTCTGTCCCCCCACCCCACCCCCTTCTCATCCTGGGGCCAATGCTCCCCTTCAGCAGCAACACACACAAACACCCCCGTGGCGTCCCCTCAGGAAGGGAAAAGATCCCCTCCAGCGGGCGGAGTTTCTCACGGTGTGCCCCAGGTGACCTGGTGGGTGGGGGCGGGCCAGGAAGAAGCCTTTCCATCCTTGGAGGCGCCGGGCAGAAAGGACCAACAGCAGGGGCAGGAGGAACAGGTCAAGACCTTCCCTGTGGCAAGGTGGGAGGCAAGCCCTCGCTCTCACCGCCCAAATCCTCCCTTTGCAACCCCCCCCCCAACTTTTTAGCCCTGGAATTCTTCCACAGAGGAAGATCTGCTCTGCAGCGCCCTGCCCAGCTGCGTACAAGGTCTCAATGGAGAGGCTTAAGTGGGGGAGGGAGGGACCTCGACACTTCTGACACCAGTGGAGAGTCTTTAGAGGAAGCTCATGGATGCGGGAGGGCGGAAGGGCGGAGTGCAGGAGGGGACCATCCGGGCCGCTGGGCACCGGTCTACTTGGTGCCTTCATCGGGGTTGCCCTCGCCGTCCGTCTTGCCCTCCTCTTCCGTCTTCTGGTCGTCCGTGTTCAACCTCTGCTGCTTCTTGCGCCGCACGCACTTGACAGCCACCAGCACCAAGATGACCACGGCCAGGAACCCTCCCACCGTGGCGCCCACGATCACGGCCACCGTCGAGTCCCTCTCGGGAGGTTCTGCGGAGGAGACACAGCCGAGACTAGTGGGGGACGGGGCTGAGGAAGGGCACGCGCAGCAGGCTTGATCCCCGAGGGGGCTTGGAGAGAGGGGCTAGGGAAGCAGGGGTTGGGACAGGGGGCAGGGGGCACCCCGGCTTTGCAGGAAGGTGGGCTTCTGGGGTGGGCGTGGCCTTTCTAGGACGCTGCAGCATAGCAGGTAAGAAAAGCGTGCTGTTGTGGGGTAGGTCCTAGGGGGAGAGGGAGACCCTAGACAGCAGGCCTCCGGAAGGCTGACTGACCTTCGGTGATCACTATCAGGCTGATCTTGCCGTGTCCCTTCTGCCGGTCAGGGGGGTTCATGACGTAGCAGTGGTAGGTCCCTTCGTCATCCAGCTGCACGTTGTGGAGAGTGAAGGAGACGTCGTTCTTGATGGGGTTCCCGGTGAACTCCACGCGATCCCCAAAGCGGGTCTGCTCCATAGGAACAATCTTCAACCTAAACTGTAGAAACTGGAGACGGGGTGGGGGGCGTTAAAGTAGCAGAGATTGCCGCAGTCCACACAGGAGGCTCTGGAGAGCTGCGACAAACCGATATATCAAGATGGGAAGCCATCTTGAAATGGGGGTACCCAGGAAAGCCCCGCCCCACATAATCGATCACATGAAGGGACACCATTTGAATAGCAATGCCCATTAACTTTGGTTGGGGGGAGCCCTCAAGTATTTTATTGAGGGGGCCAAGACCTCTTGGCCCTAGGAGTTGGGCTCCTATGTATCACACACCCTTTTTAAAAAAATAAAATAAAAACAGGCTTCAGTAGCAAAGACTATCCCTGGGACATGTGGTTGCAATAAAACGGGTGCCTCTGAGCACATGCACGAGTGCATTCCGCTTGATCGTGACTTAAAAGGGGCAGCAGGGCTCATCTGTTACAGCAAACACAACGAACAGAGTTCTGGAACCTTAAAGACTTGCACATTTATTGTGGCAACAAGAAACTTAAGCCACAGCAGACGCTTGGCAGCTTCGCGTGGAATAAGTGCTACAACCCGCTCCCTCCACACACATACATTCACAGGAACCGCATTTGGGGGACGGGTTGAAAGGACTTCCAGGCTCTGCCGCTAAGTTGTTGTTGCGGCGCCCTCTCAGCTGGGCACCCAGTGCAGGCGACCCAGTTTTGCACTCCCCCTCAATCTGCCTCTGCGCCGCATCATGCTTCGAGGAAGTGACCGGCCCAGCTCAGCTGCGGGCTGCAGACTTACCATCTCTTCGGTGCAATTGTCGCATTCCTGGTATGTCCAGTTGAGGGAGAACTGCTTCTTCTCCACCCGGTAGCAGGAGTTGAAGGTGCAGGTGAGGCGGACGGAGGAGCCATTCAGGGCCATGATGGTGAAAGGCGCCGTGACCTCCATGCCCAGGCTGCTTGGCACTGCCGGAAGAAGAGGAGAACAGGGTAAGACAGGAGAGGCGAATCTACACTGGTCAGTTATAACTTTTTAAATGTGTTATAAAAATGTGACACCAGAGGGCGCTGCAGAGCAGCAATCAGTCGGCCATGGGAAATTGCATTGAGAGTTATATAGGGTTTTTTTCTCTTCTAATAGCCTTTATTTAATAGCATTTATACAGATCAGTGCAGATCCAGCCTCGCTTGCTCTCCCACCCCACCCACCCATTACACACGAAGGGCAGCAACGTTGGGTCGGCAACCCCCCCCCTTTTTTTTTGAAGGAAGGCGGACTGCTGACAAAGGACCCTCTGGGAGTTGGTTTGTTTGTTTCTTTCCAAAGGGGAAAGCGCTCAAGACAGTTCAATAGTAAGTGCTCAATTAAAACGGGATCCCAACTGCACCGGAAAAACGTAGCTGGGTAATTTTATAGAACAAGCCTGACGGGATAGCTCAGTCAGTAGAGCATGAAACTCTGCACCTCAGGGATGTGGGTTCGAGCCCCACTTTGGGCAAAAGATTCCTGCATTGCAAGGGGTTGGACCAGATGACCCTTGGGGTCCCTTCCAACTAGACAATTCTTTGATGGCCAGAGAAGTGGGACGAGCGACTCCTGGTTACAGTGTGGAACACTCCTATTCAAGGCGCCAGGCAGTCAGTCCTGCCCCTTTCCTGAGCACTCTATTAGGAACATAAGAAACTGCATTTATACCGAGTCAGACCATCGGTCCATATAGGCCAGTATTGTCAACACTGACTGGCAACAGCAGCTCTCCAGGATTTGAGGCAGGGGTGTCTCCTCCTGGCCCTACCTGGAGATGCCAGCGGGGTTTGCTCCTGGGACCTTCTGCATGCAGCGCACATCCCTTTCCAGACCTCCCCTCTCCCCTTGTTTTTCGTCCCCCTCCCGCCAGCATTCTGGCCCAGTTATTTGGGATTATTCTTTTTTTTCTAAACGAGGGTTTTTGGGGGAGGGGGCGTCTGAAAACTTCCCCGCCAGGCTGAAGGCAGAGCGCTCCCTCTCTTGCGCGCGTTGCTGGAGAGGCTTTGGCTACGGAAGGACGCGCGCTGAGCTCCTGCGTCCGCCGCTGTTCCGTCCCGGCTACGGATGGCAAGAAGCCGGCCAACAGCTCCGCCGCTTCCATTCTCCCTCTCTGTTTCCTCCCAGGTCCCCCTGGCTTTGAAGGCAGAGCCCCAAAAGGGTCTCCCCTCACCCTCACCTTCTTTACCGGTCAGCCACGCGGGGGCTCAAGGCGAGTTTAAAGCGTGAAACCGCAGGTGCTCAGAATTGTTCAGTTTCTGATCAGGGCTGGCACACTATATCCTTTTTGTTTTGGCTTTAACAGATCAGGAACGTAGAAGGAATTGCAGAGGACGAAACGACGGCTGGGGAGAGCGGCGAGATGCCTGGATTACCTGTTTCAGGACTGAACTAGCAATACCTGCCACCACGTCTGGGGTCTGACATTCCCAGGCTGCACCACTGCTCCGATCCAAAGCTCCTTCCGCGTGGCCCTAAGACCCCCCCTGAGTCACCCCCGAGGGGATAATCATGGCAGCGTGCGTGCCCGACCCTCCACCCTGAGCGCATGCTCAGGAGTAGAGGCATTTCTGCTGCCCCACATGGGTATGGGTGTCATTCTTTCCGAGCGCTGCTGTAGCTGGGTGGCAGCCCTGGGGCTTTAAGGAGACGCCTGAGGCAGGCAGTCCAAGGTCAGCTTGTTTCTGTCAGTCCCTTTTGCTGACGTCTGGCAAACCGGTCTCCTGGCTGTTCCGAGGAACCCCAGTGCTGCAGAAGCTGCAGCCTCTGCAGTGCCTTGAATGCAGCAATTGCTGAGGCAGTTCCTGGCTCGTCAGATGCTACTGCAAAACTGGAACACATTCAACACACACCTCCCCCTCGCCGTACCCCGGGAGCCCCGAGGGGAAGACGGTGCGCCCTGAGTTCAGCTGGGATCCGCAGCTGAGATCAGGGGGCTCCTCGCCGAGCTGGCTACCCAGAGCAGCGTCTTGGCTGCTCCCCCTTCTCCCCACAAGCCCAGCCGCAGAAAGCCTGGCCTTTCTCCTCCCCTCATCCTTTCCAAAACGGTCGCCTGCGCGCTTTTTGCAAACCCTTCGCGCTCCTGTTTGGAGAGGCAGAGCGGGCTGTGTGCTCGGCCAGCGGGACACAAGCCTTGTAGCACAGGGGGCCGAGTAAGACGGGGCTGGGAATGGGGAGTAGCGAAGGCCCAGGTCCAGATCTGGCCCCGGGTCCTAGGCGCACCCTCCTGGTCTCTTCTCTCCCACATGGAACTGGTGATCATGGACTGCTGTAGAAAGGTAGCGCCTGGCAGTAGGGAGGCTAAGTCTGCCTTTACAGAGGCCCTTTGGAAGGTGAGAGCAGGAGGAGCTACTGCTGGGCATAGCCAGCGGTGGCCAGGAAACCTTTGAAGGCTCCCACAAGGCTTCTGAGAGAAGCCCCTATGAATGCTGGGGAGTGGGCGCCGGCGCAGTATCCTAGGGGGTGGGAGGCAGTGGTTGGCCCCTGCTGAACCAAGAGGGGTCTCTCTCTTCCTGCGGAGTCGCCTGGTGGCTGCTGTAAATCCCCCCCCCCCTCGCCACACCCCACAGTCCAAGCGAGGGAAGAACCTGTGCCTCATTTTGGGAGGACCCAAGCAGGCGTGGGAGGGAGCAACTCTGGTCCCCAGGATAGGAGGCGGAGCAGCATCTGGCAACCCCGGCACAGCTGTGTGTGAGAGAGTGACCACATACACACTGCCCTCAGCCGCTGCCCCCCGCGGCCACTTTCCAAAGATCCAGGCCCGGAGCGCTTTCCTCGACACTGATATTCTCCGTTGCTGGCGACTGATCCGGCCAAAAATTGTGTAGCTCTGGCGAAGCACAGGCTCTGGCCGGTTCTTCCAGCAAATGCACTGAGGGGCTCTGGCCAGGAAAGGGCCCTCCCCGAAGGCGCCCCCCAAAGACGCTCCCCGCCCGCCCTTGAGCCAAGGCAAAGCGGCGGCGCCTTCTCCTCCCTGGAGCGCAGCTGTCAGTGGGGCTGCGGAGCCGGGCAGGTCCGCAGCGGGCCTCGCCAGATTGCAGCAGCAGCCCCCTCCCCGCTGCTCCCTTCCTGCCTCAGCTCCCCATGCCGGGACCCCAGAAGCCACTTACCCAGCGCGAGGCAGAGGATGAGGAGCGCCAGGGCGTGCGTCTTCGGGGGCCGGGGGGCTTCTCGGCTCATCCTCCGGGCCTAGCGGGGAGAGGGGGAGGGGGCCGGGCGGTGCGCTGCTTGGCTTGGCTTGGCTTGGCTTGGGTGGAGGGGAGTGTCAAATGCGGGGTTTGGACTCGGAGGCATACATCATGTTCTGGAAGCTTTATGGCGAGGGCTCCAAGATGGCCGGCTGGAGGGTTTGGTGCTTCCCCTGCAGCCGCGGTTAAAAAACGGGGGGACACATCATTTCTGTGGTTGGCGAATCTCAGCAAAGGAAGTGGGAGGGCAGGAAACCCTTATGTGCCGGGAATGAGAGATGCTCCCAGCTTCCGCGGGGGCGGCGGGCTGGGGGAGAGCGGAGGATTAATCTCGACACCCCCTGCCTGCCCTCCGCGGGTTCTGGTCAGGGAAGGGTCATAGCTGAGGGCAAAGCGCCGCATTTGGACGCAGAAGGTCCCAGATTCAACCCACAGCGGTATCTCCAGGTAGGACTGAGGAAAGACACCTGCTCTGGCGGGAAGATGCTCTCCAGGTCTTTAGACAGGTGCCTGGACCTGGACCCGGAGAAAGCAGTTGCCACTGTTGCTACGTTCTTGGGCTGCTGCCCTTTCCCAAAGAGCAGAGCCGGCGGCCAAAGTCAACTTCTCAGCCACCCGCTTCAGAGGGACGTCTTCTTGTCCTCCAACCCAAACTATGCACGGGGTGCCTCCTGGAGCAAATGCCCATTTCAAGGGCTCCTTTCCCAAAACATGCTGAGCAGGAGGAGAAGGCTGGTAGGGACCTTCGCGCCGGGGTGGGGGAAGAATTCCCTGCTCTGCAAATGATTTATTGCCTGACCCCTCAATTTGGTCCTGGGGGAGCCAAATGCATTTCATATTCCCAGCTAAAGCAACACTACCCCACGCAAGAGAGAGAGCAGAGCAGCTCCCCCGACTGGCTGTGGGACTCTTGCGTGCGCGCGCACCCCTTCCTCTCTCGCAGCAACTACCCCAGCGACTGGGCAGGGAGGGCGAGAAGGGTCAAGAGTATCAATTTAGGCACCCCAGTGTGCAGTAGGTAATCCAGCAGCCCTTCCCCACCCCCCACCGCGCGCAATGGTCCAGGAGGACAGGAAGTGGCTCGGCAGCATGCTCCAGGCGAGTAGGTGGCAGGGAATGGATGGATGCTCTCGCGCCTCTTCCACGCAAGCAAACAAGACAGACCCCACGCCACCCTCTCCTCTCCCCTTCACCAAGCGCTGTTTGCCACGGTCGCTTCCTCCCCCTCCCAGTTAGCCCTGAGCTGCCCAGTCTGCGTTGCCAGTGGGAGCTGCTGGGGACCAGTCGGGACAGGGAGCCAGCGGCGATTCAAACGCAACGTTCCCCATACAAACACACTGCAGGCTCCGAAGGCCTCCCCACCCACAAGTGAATGTGGGCCGGGCGAGGCTCCCCCGGAGCTGCCTTGGCTATCCTGCTCCCTTCCTTGGGCACTGGCTGAAGTGTCGGGTGCGGAGAAAGAGCTCCCTTAACTTCTCCGCTTTCTGGACGCTCCAAGCGCGCCTTGCTGCAGCTGCTGGGAAATGTCGGAGGGCGGCAACGCGAAACCAAAGAATACAGCCGGCTGCGCTTCTGCACAGGCTCTGGGTGGCGTCTCCCGGGTCCGCTCAGAAAGAGCCCGCGCAGAGAGGGCTCTGGCAGTGTTGTGGGTACGCTTTGGACTTGTCTTGCATCTGCTGGGGTTGCTTGGCTACTTAGGGGTGAAGGAAGATACTTGGCTGCTGTGGGGAAGGGGAGCGAGGAAAGGGATTGTTGAGCCGCTCCAAGCCCCAGCGCAGCGCCCCGCCGGCCTATCCCAGAGCCACGTCTTTCTACTAGGGCGCTATCCATAGTCCTGATGCAAGCGGCCTCCCGTCACTCTCGCCTTCCTGATAGAAAGTAATGGTGAGCTGGGCTCATCCTGCGCAGGGAGGAGAGGGCACCGACCCACAAACCTCAGTCTGCACCTGCCTGCCTTCTTGACATCTATCCAGTTTTGTCTTTGCAGGGAGGGTGGAGACAAACACAGAATTAGTTGGCTCCTCCTGTCTTTGGTTCTGCAAACTGTTATCCTTCCAATCTTCTGCCCTGCCAGTCCTAATGGGCATCAGACCCCAGTGGCTTCTGAGTCCAGATGGGTTCAGTGGCTATAAACCCCAGGTGGAGGTGTTCATACACCTACTAGAAAGAGGAGAATTTTGGGTCTATCACTCATGCTCCTTATGGACTGTGCTAGGCAAGGAGGGCTGAGGAAGCTGGAGAACGGCCCAGCTCTGTTGGCTGTGTGTACCTGACTTGTCTGAGGCCCTTCAAATTTACCCTGTTGGGCTCAGCCAAATCTGATGCACAGGCCTAGTACGTATATAAGTCATCTCTAGTAGTCACTGATAGCCCTTTCCTCCATTAATTTGACAACAGTGACAGCACAGCTCTCTGACTTCTAGGGTGTTTTGCACTCACAGAGGCTGCCCATCACTACCGTACTGGGCAGGTTCCAACTGGCCCCCTCTGAAGTAGCTCCCACTGCACTTCCTCCTCCTTAAATTTAAGGAGCACTTCATTAATATTTCAAGGCACTCTCCTTTACTGGGACAACCTGCACAGCCCAATTCTGCAAAGTCAGAGCAGACTTGCAGCTGAGTCAGTCCCTTATGCTGGCGAAAGGAGTCCTTCGTCCTAAAAGGCAATTGGCAGAGGCCGGGAGTCCCAAGGGGCAGGACCAGCCCCACTCCCAGAAGTTTGGCACTGCCTTCCAAAGGACAGGGAAATGTGGCTTAATGGGTTTGCTAGCTCCACCGTAGTCCCTCCCTGAAAGACGCAGTATCCCTCTGCATGATAACAACTGCCGGGATGACAAGAGGGGAGAGGGCTATTTCTCCCATGTTCCGCTGGTGTGTTTCCCATTGAGGCACCTGGTTGGCCAGAGGGAGAAGAGATGCTTGGACCAGATGGGCCCCCATTGGCCTGATCCAGTTGTAGTATTACCTGCTGAGATTACCCTTGGTGGACTAGCAAGCTTTGGCCATTTTCACTCTTAAGGCCATTTCTGGAGGGATGTGAATGGATGCTAGGAGAGGGTATAGTTATTAGATGTTATCCTTCCTCACATTTGTGAATTTGGCAGAGTGCATCCCTTTGCAGCTTAAAAGGGAAGCTTAGATAAGTTAGTTTTAATCTTTTTAGTTTAAGTAAAGTTTAGTTTAGTTTAGATTAGATTTAAGGTGCTGCTTTTGACCTTTAAAGCCCTTCATGGCCTAGGACCCTTGTACCTACGGGGCCGCGTCTCCCGGTATGCCCCACAGAGGACCTGAAGGTCCATAAATAGCAACACCCTAGTGGTCCCGAGCCCTAAGGAAGTTAGATTAGCCTCAACCAGAGCCAGGGCCTTTTCACCACTGGCTCCAGCTTGGTGGGACGCTCTGTCTCATGAGACCAGGGCCCTGTAGGATCTGATTACTTTCCGCAGGGCCTGTAAGACAGAGTTGTTCCGCCTGGCCTTTGGCTTGGAGCCAATTTGATTCCCTCCCCCTCTTTCTTTTTTCTTTCTCCTCCTGTGATGAGGCTGCATTTTAATATTTTAATGTTTCAATATTTTAATGTTGTATTTTAATCTTGTTTTTAAGTTGTATTCATTCAACTTGTTTTTATTATTGCTTGTTAGCCGCCCTGAGCCCGGCCTTGGCTGGGGAGGGTGGGGTATAAAAATTATTATTATTATTATTATTATTATTATTATTATTATTATTATTATTTAATCCAGGGTGCTTTAAGGCAGACTGGATTCTCCTGGTATTTCATCCTTTTCTCCCCTCCAAAACAACAATCAGAAAGTCTTGTAAAAGGTAAAAATACCATATATTTCCATGTATAACATGCCCTCGTGTATTTGGGGGACTCAGAATTAAGAAAATGGGGGGAGATTGCCCCTGTGTATAAGACTAACCCTCCTTTTAAACATTATTTTTTTGGTTAAAAAAAAAACTAGTCCTACACAGGGAAAAGTACGGTAATATTCTGCTAGTTTTGATTTTGTTAGTTTTTGTGTGGTGTGCTTTTTGTTTTCTGTGAATTCTCATTGTTTGGGCCTAAACTGTGAATATTTTATAGACTTATTTATTATTTGAGGTATGACTATACCACTTTTCATCAGAAAGGATCACCAAGCAATTTACCAAAAATTAAAATTAAGTGCAATATAGAAAACCTCAAAATCTATTAATACAATATAGAAAACATCAAACTCCTAACATAGAATTCTACTCAATCATAACAAAAGAAAGAAATCCCTATGGAAAACCGCATTTTAAAATTTCCTGCTCTCTGCTGCCATCTGGTGTTGCATGTTTATAGCGCATTCAAATTGCTGTTTCTCGGCAGTTACAGATCTTAATAAAACTCTCAGTACATACACAAAGACATACTACAACACCGGCAATCAAATGCTATGAGGCTAAAATCGCATTTAATCTAGGAATACACAAAATTTACATGGCTGTACATAACAAAAATGACATTCCTTGTCTAGAAAAGAAGTTTAAAAAGAAATGTGAAGTGGGAGAAGTAACATAATAAAAATGTGTAAATGGGACAGAAGTCTAACACTTGCAATTCCATGCATATCCACTCAGAGGCAAGTTCCATCAAGTTCAATAGGGCTTACTCCCAAGTAAACATGCACAGGACTGCAGCCAAAATAAATTGTTACGATAAAAGAACTTAATTAACTGACTTCCTCCTTACAGGACCATGGGTCAAAAGTTTGTAACTTCCCCATAGTTATAATAACTTTCCATCAAACATGATGCAACTTGAATTGGGCATTATGTAATTACAACTATTTCACAAGGAATTCTGTTTTTGAGAAAGCAAACTTCTGCTTGTAATTGAAACCGACTGTAAATTCTTAAGGTGTGAATCATGTCATCCCATAAGCATGCAGAGATCTGGTTTCTATCAGAAGGTTGAAGAAAGGACATATTATGTTGTTGATGGGTTATTTGCCACTTTACTCATGGAAATGACTCAAAGCAATTTTACAAGCACAATAGAAATACTAAAACCAACTACAATAAACACAATTAAAACTCTTTTTTAAAAAAAAACAAAACTAAAAAGCCACACCTATATAAATAAAACACATGACTAGCCGATCCTGCCCCACCAAAAGCGGCCACAAATACTTAAAACCCCTTCAAACTAACGGCCAAAAGCCTGGGTAAAAATTAAGGTTTTTGCTTGGTGCCTAAAAATAGATACAGATGATACCAGCTGAGTTTCCCTGAAGAGAGCATTTCACAAAGAGGGAGCCACCACTGAAAAGGCCTATTCTCATGTTGCCACCCTCTGGAACTCCCATGAAGTAGGCACATGGAGAAGGGTCTCAGGTGACATTTGCAGGGTCTGGGTTGGTTCATGTGGGGAGAGGCAGTCCTTGAGATATTGGTGTCCTAAGCCACATAAGGCTTTATAGGTCAAAGCCAACACTTTGAACTGGGCCTAGAAATTAATTGGTAGCCAGTACAGTCAAGTCTAGATTAGTGTTATGTGCTCAACCTGTCTTGCCCTGTTGAGCAACCTAGCTGCTGAATTCTGCACTAGCTCTATGTAGCCCTATGTTGCACTAATTCAACATAGAGGTTACCAGAGCATTGACAACAGAAGTTAGGCTGTGTTTGTCCTGTCCAAAATTAGGAAACACCATGGTGA